ATAAAATTAAATATCTTTTCAAATAATTTAAGGATATATATATATGTATAATTTAAGGATATATGGAGGAGAGAGGGTATAAAACTATATACACTTCAGGAAAAGAAAAGCTGGTAAGCATTTTAATACTAAAGTTATTGAAACATCATAAGATCAATTATCTTTTTTTTTTTAACATTTATTTAGTGTGTGTGTGTGTGTGTGTGTGTGTGTGTGTGTGTGGCCAGCTCAGCCCACCAGGGGGTGCGGCTGGCTGGCATGTGGTGCTGGGGGATCGAACCGCGGTCCCTGAGCTTTGCCAAGCTTGTTCCAAGTAGGTGCTTTAGACCACTGAGCCATCTCTCCAGCCCCAATCCAAATTATCTTGAGCTTCTACAATTATACGAGGTGCTCAAAGCAGTGGCCATCAGCTTCCAGACAGGCACGAGTGTGGCAATCTTCTGCTTGGGTAGCCTTGGTCATTGAGATTGTTGCACATGCATTCTCAGTTTCTCCTCTGTGGACTGGCAGAGTAGTGGGTGTTCTGTAATGTACAACATCCTCTGGGGTCCCCACATGAGCATAGAACCTGCTGCTGAAAAAAATGATCATACAGTTTTTCTTTTCCTGAAATGTGCATATATTTTTGGTGGACAGAGCAGGAATCTATGTTCATGTACTTTGCCTGTTTTTCTGTGGGATTATTTCTGGTCTTTTCCCTTCAATTTTTACAAGTTCAGGATACATGAATAATAATCCTTTATCTATGATATATGCTGCAAACAATTTCTCCCAGTTTGTTGTTCATCATTCATCATTTGATTTGCTTGTGTGCTATTTTTAACAGCCCAGAGGTTTTGTTTGTTATGTATCAATTTTTTATTGCATCCCTTTTCCCATAAAAATAAATTTATCTATCTTAATATATTTAATGTTATACCCTTCCAATATTTTTGGTGTCATGTTACCATTTCTTTTTCAAGATGATGGTGCTAATAGATGACAATTTTTAAAATAGTAGAATCATTGAAATATAATTCATATACCATAAAATTCACCCATCTTAAGTGTACATGTGATTCAATGGCTTTTAGTATAATCACAAATTTATACAACTACCACCACAGTCACTTTAGAATTCTTCATAACGCATCTCAAAGGACCCTACCCCCATTAGCAATCCTCTTCACTACTATTCCCCACCCCAACCCCCTGGCAACCACTCATCTTTTTGTCTTTGAAGATTCACCTATTTTGGATATTTTACATGAATGGATTCATGCATATGTTGCTATGTGCAGCTGGCCTTTTTCACTCAGCATTATCATTTCAGGTTGCTCCACACTGGGGCACGTACTGATATTTTGTTCCTTTGTATTGACATATTCTATTGTTTGGAGATATCCTGTTTTCTTTCTCCACGTATAAGCTCATGGGTATTTCGGTTGTCTTCTTGTCTATTGTGAACAATGCTGCTGTGAACGTTGGAGTATCAGGTGTTGTGCAGACAGTAGGTCTCATTTCTCTTGGGATACACCTTGGAGTAGGAACGCTGGGTCCTGTGATCACTTACATTTCATCATTTTGAGAAGCTACCAGACTTTCCCAAACTGGCTGCAGCATATTGTAGTTCCACCAGCAATGTATTATAGTTTCAATTTTTCTCATCTTTGCCAAAGATTTTTCTAATCTGTCTTTTTTATTATAACTATTGTAGTGAGTGTGAAGTAATGTTTCATTGTGGTTTTGATTTGTATTTCTCTATTGACTGATGATATTGAACATCTTTTCACGTGCTTGCTGACCATTTCATTTATTCTTCTTTAGACAAATGCCTATTCCAATCCTTTGCTCATTTTAAATTGGTTTATTAGTCTTTTTATTATTAAGCTATGAGTTCTTTATATATTCTACACAAGTTCTTTCTCAGATACATGATTTGCAAATATTTTTTCCTATTTTGTAGGTCATCGTTTTACTTTTTTATGGTGTGCTTTGAAGCACAAGTTTTTATAATTTTGATGAAGTTCAATTTCTTTCTCTTTGTTGTTTGTCATATCTAAGAAACCGTTGCCTAATCCAAAGTCATGAGCATTTATGCTTATTTCCCTTCTAAGAATTTTATAATTTTAGTTCTTACATTTAAGATTTTGATCCATTTTTGCTTAATTTTTACAAATGTATTCATTTGGATTTGCATCACAGAAACTTTTCATATCAAGATTATCCTAGCTTGGCAAAATGGATTAGGAAAATCTCTTAGACTAATATCCTAGAAACATTTAATAACAGGACTATGTATCCCTTAAAGATTTCAAAGGACCTTCCCCAAACAAAAACAACCAAAAAAAAAAACTTACCTAAGCAGCATGAGGCACTTATTTTTTTAAAGGCATCACTTCACTTTCTTCTGAGGTTATTGGACTGTCATTTTTGTTTTTTTCAGACAGGGTCTCATCATGTAGTCCAGGTTGACCTGAAACTTTCTGTGTAACCCAGGCTGGCCTCAAACTTTTGTCAGTCCTCCTGCCTCAACCTCCTGAGTGCTGAGATTACATGCGTGCGCCACCACACCCAGTTCTGGGCTGTTATTATTCTTTTGTATTTGTTCTTGAGTTAATTTTAGTAACATATTTTCCCAGATAATTACACCTTTTATTAAGATTTCTATGTTTATTAATGTGGAGTACATTTTCTTCTTTTTTATATTGTCTCCTCTATATTTCTGGTTATATCTTCTCATTCTTCATCTTGATATTTAGGTCCTTTTTAAAAATTTTGATCCTATGTTTAACTGTTTTAGTGATCTTTTCAAATAACTACTAGTTGTACTTATTCTGTCTGCTTTTCTGTTTCCTAATTCCTTATTTAGTGCTTTTTCTTTATCAATTCCTTCCTCTTCTCTTCCCTAGATTCATTTTATTGTTTTGTTTTTTTTTTTCAGTTTTCTAAGTTGGATGCTTCGGTTAGGCTCTGATTTTCAGAACTTTTGCTTGAGGGATCAAGGATTTTAAGGCCTGTGTCACAGTAGCAGAAACTGTTGGCCAAGTATGACCCAAAGGGCAGCCTTTACTGAAAGAACCTGTTGCCAGGAGGCAGGAGAGCTGGGTGCTGGGCCCAGCCTGGCCTCAGGTCAGCTCAGCTCCCACAGGCAAGTCCCCTGCCCTCGCAGGCCATCTTCTCCCACCGGGCAGCTGGGAAGTGTGTGGCCCTGCATGGAGGGTTCCCTTAGGGTAACAGCAGGCAGGTCTGTGTCCCCCTCTTCGATACCTCCACCCCAGTGCACTCAACCATAAAATCGTGACAGATGAGTTTTATTTTGCAAGATGGAGGCAACAAGTAATGATGACAGTGTCCTGCTGAGAGGCAGTGGCGCCTCTGGACTTGTGACCAGAGCAGAGACAGTTCAGTGTTCAAGGCAATAGAATGGAGTGGCAAAGCATTGGCTTGGGCATTGAATGACTTGGCTTGGATCTTTGGCAGGTAGTGTGTAGCCTTGGACAAGTCTTATCTGCCTCTAAAGAGAAAATAGTACCGGCACCTCACCTGACAGGGCTGTTGAGGTTTGAGGACATTAACCACTGGAAATACACGTGAGGGTCTGGTGGTTTATGATTTCTGCGGAAGTGCTCATGATTTGTAGCTGTTGCCATTATTGGTGATGCGAGCTGGGGATGGGGCCAGGGTGGGGGTTGCTCCCCCAACTGAGGAAGGAGCAGCTCCCCAAAGCAGCCCTCCATTGGCTGGCTGGCTGCCTGACTCACAGGCTGGCCACTCAGATCGCCAATCCTGCAGTGCTCAGACTGTGCTTAGTTTGCTTCCTCAGATGATTTGAAGAGCCCTGTTTCTCTGCAGCTGCTCTGAAGAAAGCTGGGAACACGAGGGCCCCCACCTGCCGCACCACCATAGTGCTTCTGAAGGTAGAGGAGGGTCTGGCTGATGTTAGGAAACATGGACTGAGGCTCCTTCTCTGTCCTTTGTCCCTGTGGGACCAGAGTCAATTACTCTTCTCCTCTACATTAGGCCTGAGTTTTTGCATCTGCAAAATGGCAACAAGGACTGAGGTTAGCAAGAGCTCCTCTGGCAATTCTTTGCACTGATTCCTGAGCATGGATGAAGGGAATGGCTATAAGATCTCACAAGCTCCTGCTTCTCCAGCCGGGCCTCTTCTTCCATTCACTTAGAAACTTTTTTTAGGCCTATGACATTCTTGTCTTGGAGAAAAAAACCTGACCCCTAGGGAGAAGGAGGTGCCACCAGTGGCTGTGGCAGAAGACCAGTAGGGAGGCCCAGGAGGGCGAGTCACAAACTTCCTCAGCTCACTTTGTGACCAGGGGTGCCAACTTGAGTTTTCTGTTTTATTCTGGCTGTCATGGAAAGTCAGGATAGCTATAGCGGATGCTGTCCGTGTAGGGGAACTGAGGGCTCCCACAGGAAAGCCTGGGGCATTTGCTGCCAGGTCCAAAGCCAGGGAGGTGGTGAGGGAAGGAGGGCAGAGCCTCCTGCTTCCTGCTACTTCACAACAAAGGAGCAGTTCTAGGCCAAGGGAGGAAGGCTTCAGGAGGGGCCAGGTGTGGAGCCGAGTATTGGAGGCAGGAAGGCCTCTCCCCTTTGCAGGCAGTCAGGAGGCCAGGGGGTGGCTGAGCAGGTCTCTGAAGGCAGTGCTGTTAGGACCAGCTGGAGGAAGGCGACTTGAGGCAGAGGGCCAAGCAGAAATGTCTTGGTGGCGATCTTGGGCTGTCCACGTCACGCTGGGGAGTAGAGAGCCTTGGCGTTTGCCAGGACCTTTGAAAGTCCCACCTTCCTGGTTTTGGGCCAGAGCCCTGGCTTGTTTCTCAGTGAGTGGAGCTGCTGGGACTGGCAGTGGGTGTGTTAGTGTGGGCTTGCAGGAGCAGTGGGGCGGGGGCACATTGATGTTCAGCTTCTGGACGTGACAAATGTGCAGACGCATCAGGGGGGCTGTGGATGAGCGGCCGGCTGTAGAGATGCTCACCCTGTGATTTGTTGCTTTGATTCCTTAGGCCGAGACTTGGCGAGCACGACCCTCCCCGGGTACCCTCCGCACGTCCCCCCCGCTGGACAGGGCAGCTACTCAGCACCTACGCTGACAGGGATGGTGCCTGGTGAGTTTGCACTGTCGGCGTCTCCACAGCAGGCAGTGGACAGGGTTTCTGTGGGGGGCATCCCGCCAACAGCCCGGTGACCTCTATGCTCCTGGGAAGCGGGCCTGAATAAATCAGGCAGAGGTCTGCTCAGCTCCTTTCCTGCAGCTGAGTGTGCAGTGCGCGGCTTGAACAGCAACGACAACAGCACTGGGGACAGCCTCAGAGAGGGGTCCCGGGCTGTCACTCACGCAGCCCCTTCTGGCCACATGGAGTCGGATGCAGCCAGCTTGCAGGGAAGGCGTTCCAGCTCACCCCCATGCCCTCTTCCCTTCTCCTCCTCTTCTTCCTAATGTGCAACTGGAGTTTGTGGAAGCCCTAAGAGCTTTCGGCCTCCTCACTCCTGTGTTTCAGACAGACAGGGTAGAAGGTGGTCAGTTTGTCACATGATTCTGAACTGACTGCCACCAATCCCTCTAGGTGGTGAAGTATCAGTTTTGAGATATTTAGAAACAGGCCCCCCTGGGGTCCGGTCCCTTTGCATGGAGGGGTCAAGGCATTGTATCCTGGTCTGGCTTTCTGTGTGTTAAGGCCATTAACATGGCAGTGTTACTCAAAGTATCAGTTTTTGAAAGGCTTTTTTTTTTTTTTATCAAGAAGGACCAAGCCTCTGATAAATGTTGCTCCATTTCCTTTATGGGGTGGAGTGGCCTCTTGCTAGTGTCCTTTGTAGAGACCACATTTCACTTTCCTGGGCCTGGGAGTGCTCAGGCCTGCTCTCCTGGGTTGCATGCTGGACTCTCTCTGAGGATGCTGTCCCCTGGCCCCAGAAACTTCCTCTTTGAAGCCTTAGAACAGCTCTGAGGAGTAGGCTGCAATATGCCTGAGTCACTCAGGAAGTGGGAGGTAGGGCCACCACAAGGAGCCAGGCAGAGCCAGGCAAGAAAGGCTGCTGCTCTGGGAGCTACTGCTTGCAGATACCCCTGCATCTGGGATGCCCCTGCATCTGCTGGGGTATTGTCCCCTCACCCCCAGGACCAGGGAGAGCCTGCAGGCCTAAGGGGACATGCTTATGATTCTCCTTCCAGCCCACCTTGAGCACCAATCCTAGTCAGGGTGAACCTCTTTCAGCCTCTTTTACAGGGTCATCTCCTCCAGGTAGCCCGTGTCACCTGTGCATGTGTCCCTGGGCCAGGACTGGCTTCTTGTGTAGATGTGGATAGAGCTGAGACATGAGGGATGGGGACCTCACAGATGCCCATGTCTCTGCGGGGTGGTCAATAGAGTCAGGGTTGGGTAGCAGTCAGATTGTGCTTGGGGTAGGCTGTCCCCAGGCAGCACTGCCTGGCACAGAACCCCAGGAGTCCCAGAAATCTAAATTCCATCCCAATCCTCACAAGTTGTGTCAAAGACGGATTTAACAAGGTAGGAAGATGAAGCATATTTCATTTAACGGTTTGTTAGCTTGATTTATGACTTTTAGATATGAAACATATGGAAAATGGCCTGCGTATATGCACTTGCCCGGGGCCTTGCCAGTGCCATGGAGGCTTGCCAGGTTCACCTGCAAAACCTCTGCTTTTTTGCTGCTGTGAGGATGTGTCCACAGCAAGTCCCAGGGAAAAGCTGTGCACAGGCAGTCAGAGGAATGGGGTCACACATCATGCTTCCTCAGCCACACACTACCACTGTGCCACCACCACCTCCACTGCCACTGCCACCACCACTGCTGCTGCCCCTTCCTCTCATTTGCCAACCCATAGTGAGTTACAATGGATCTCATTCCATAGCCTTGAATGACTCCTCACACTATTGCTTTTCCAAGAAGGCAAAACGCTTTCCCTAGAACCTCTTACATAGTAACTATGGACAAGCTCAAGATTGAGCTCAGTTGCCATTTCTCAAAAGGTTTAAGACTCAGAGAGGTCCAGGAGCTTCCTAAGGCTTCACAGCTTGCAGGCAGCCCTCAGGCATTGCTGTGGCCTGACCCCAGCTTGTCTGTCCGGCTTTCTGTCCCAGCCTTTGCTATCACTGACATGCATTAGTCTTCAGCAAGCCGTGCACTCTCCCCCATCCATGACCTTCCTCATTCCATGCCTTTGGTTGGATCACTTCCCTCCATGACAGCTAGCTTAGGCAAATGTTGTCTGCCCACAAAGCCTTCAGATGTGGCCTCCTCTGGGCTTCATGGCTCATCGGCCGCTATCTTCCCTCCTCCTAACACATTTGAGATCCTTTTTGTGAATGAGACCTTCAATGGGACTTCCTGAGCCTTTTTCACCCTTCACAGTCCCTAGCCCATTCTAGGTCTTTTTTTTTTTTTTTTCTTCTGGGTATTGGCAAAATGCAAAAGGCAAGGAAAATTATATTGACCTGTGTATTAGTTTCCTTGGCGGCTATAACAAACCACCACACTCAGTGCTAAAGAGCAACAGAAATTTGGTCTCCCACAACTGTACAGCTCAAAAGTCTGAAGAGAGTATCAGTGGGATGAAACTGAGGTGTTGCCAGGATTGTTCTCCCTAGGAGTCCCTAGGGAGAAGCCCCGGCCTCTCCTCTTCTAGCTTTTTGTGACTCCTGGCTTTCTTCGGCTGTGGCTGTGTAACTTCTAGGTCAGGAGCTTTCTGTCTTGCCTTGTTCCATCTTCATATAACCTCCTGTTCAGTGTGCACCAGATTTTCCCCATCTCTCTTATAAGGAAATATATGCATTTAATGTTCACTCAGATAATCCATGACAGTCTCCCCACTCAAGATCCTAACCGAGTCACATCTCCAGGCAAGCTTCTCCCCCTGCTTGTTTATAAGGCAGCATTTGCAAGTTACACAAAAGGAAGCTTCACTTTATCAGGTGCCAGGAGGCAGGACATGAATATATCACATCCTCTTTGAGGATTTCAGCTTTGTATTTGTTCAGGGTTCTAGTCCTTAAGTTCTTGGGCTTCTGAGTCCAGGAGGCGATGATCCCATGTCATAGCCCCCGAGGGCCAGTTGGTGCATTTAGAGGCACCAGTTGAGCAGGTGCTGAGGTCTTGTTTATCAGCTTCCTTCCCTGAGGCTGGACCCTTGTCACTGTCAGCTGCACTGTATAGAACAGAGCTCCTTCCTCACTTCCCAGGGGCAGGCAGGCAGCCTAGGGGGGAATCAGAGCCTTCAGGGTCAGTTTTCCCACTGTTGGCTTTGGGGAACATTTGGCTGTCACTGTTCCCATTTAGAAGTAAATGTCTGTTTTGGGGACACACAGGGAGAGACTAGCTCCAGAGTACACTTGGGCAGGGGCTCTTTGGGCCTGGAAAGGTAGATAGAACATTGTCCTCTAGTAAACTTGTCAGCTTGAGCTCCTGATTCTGGCTCCAGAGCTTTCCTGGGTCTGTGTAACACGGCTTTCTGTTCTTCTATACTGTCTGTAGAGCCCATTCCTGCAGCTCTGCCAACTGTCTCTCTCTTTTGGATCACTTGTGTTGAAGAAAGCAAATCCAGCATATTGTATCAGCTTCGAATGAGACAGTTTTCAGATTTTATTTCCATCAAGGCTCAGCAAATGCCAAAAGTTTTGCACCAAAGATTCCATAGTGCCTTGATCGGTGTAACGACTTGATTCCTGCCTAAAGATATTTGTGCAACCTAACAGATATTGACATGGCATTTGAAACTCTTAAAAATTCTGGGCTAGAGGGGAAGTATGGGGAATTACTGCCCTTTGGCTTTCGTGAGCCTACAAAACAAGGTAGGCATTTTTGAGAAGAACCAGTCAGGGCTCATATGCTGTTCTGTAAGCTGCTTATTGACTCCTATTTCCAAGTCCTGGGCCAGAGTGCCAGGAAGACCTGACAGTGTCATCGTCTTCCTTCTCTGGGCTGCAGCAGCTGCAAAAGCTGAGTGATGCGAAGGCTGCCAGAGCACTGTGCACGGAAGGACCTGGCCAGACCTCTGGTTCTAGGCGCTCTACTTGCTCTCCATTGGTAGAGAGAGCACTTCTAGCTGTCTTGCAATTAGTTACTTATTAGCCTGTTGGCTTTTAACCTCTTAAAGAAGTAGGAGATGAGAGTAAGGAAGGGAGTGGGAGCCTCAGACTGAGAGGGAACCTGGATCAGCAGCCAGAGTGGGGTGGACACAGGCCTCCCTGCACTCTGCAGGAGGGGTGAAGCACTTGCTCCTTCCCACTGCGACTCTTCTGACTCCTGCTTAAAGACCTCCACCCCTCCCTGCCCAGCCTGCCAGGCTCCCCCTTTACATTTCCCCTGCTCAGAAAGACTGTCCCCCATCACCTAATTGTCGTAGTTCCCTGTCAGTGCTGTAACAAATAACCACAAAATACCACTTTCTGTAGCTTATAGATGCTGCCTGCCTTCCTTGGCTTGTGAGCTCATTATTTCATCTTCAAAGATGCCCTAGCAACAATGGGCCAAGTCATTGTCATGCCACATCTCTTTCTCCCCTGTCTCCCTCCCTGCTAAGACTTGTGTGATTACTTGGGCTCACCTTGATACTCCAGGATAATCAGCTAGTGATCAACCTTATTTCTTAATTCTATTTGCTATCGACTGGTAGACACCACTTCTAGATGTCTTGCTATGAGTTGCTTATTGGCAACCTTAATTCCATTGTGTCTTGAAACCAGCATGTTTACAGGTTCCAGGGACTGGAATATTAGACTTGTGCCATCTAAACAAGGACACCTCCCTCATTCCTTTCCAGAGCACTTTGCCCTTATCGTTCATGGTACTGAGCATTTTGGAGCAAATTCAGGAGTGATTCACTTGTCCTTCCCTGGCTTCCCTTGATGTCTGCATGGTACATAAGAACAGTACGATAATCAGGACTGTGTGTACTTTGTTTCCGGCTGTGTTCTTGCTTCTCAGCAGAGTGCTGGCACCTGGTAGCACTCAGGAAACACCAGCTGAAATAAACATGGGGAACTTTAGGCTGGGCTGCCAATGAGAGCTCAGCCAGTCTGCTGAGGCCTAGCGAGTTTAGGGCTACAATAATGCAGCCAAGGGTGCCAGGGCTGACAAGGACTGG